GCTAAAACCGCTAATTGCTTTTCTCACCGAACCATAGTTAAATAGCAGATTTTCTGAATACAAAAAGTGTGGTCTAGGGAGGAAAGGTGAGGTATGGCGTAAACACGGGGAATAATGCCCTGTGCAAAAAGCACAATATCAAACATATTATTTTCACGAGTCGGGAAATCCAAAAATCGCTAGAAAGATTAGTCAAAATTGATAAGAAATCATCTCTATATCGCGAAAGTCCTGCAATGTCGATTGGTCCCAGTTCTCAAGGGACCACTCGACATTGAGATTCAGCTCCCCTAAGACAACCGGCATTGAGATTCAGCTCCACTAAGACAACCGGCATTGAGATTCTGCTCTCCTAAGACGGCTGTGGACACAGGTTCCGCCGAGGTCAGGTCAGAAATTGGTAGCAGATGGTCACCTTCGCTGCTCGTTGAGTTGGCGGACGGGTATGCCAGTAGGAAAAAATGCTTAGAGCCAGACTGCAAAAAGAACCATCAAAACAAGTTACGTCAGCAGCCAACCCCCCCCCCCCCTCCCAGCTGAGAGAGACTTCAAATACTATCATGTCATGGATAGTACGCACACACCTGCTCCTCCTCAGGACAATCGATCTTTTCTTATGATACTGTAGGGTAGATCAGAACATATCCCGGATCCAGAAAACCTTTTATACAACCACGGTTCAGTGATGAAAGCAGTTAAAAGTTTCACTGTGTTCATAAAAATGCAAATGAGGGATTTTATCAGCTAGGCTTCTGGCGTTCAGCAGTGTGCAAGTAAAGGTCAACGTGTAGCTGACAGGGGAGGCATAGGAAAAACCGAGCTAGGGAGAGAGACTGTTTTGCATAGAAGATATATCAGACACTTGAGTGAACACACCTCTGTAACTACATAAATGCGCACCATGATATTTGTTTTACCCTTTCTCGGGCCTGTTTGCGCAGATCCTTCTCTTTTTTGCGCCCTCCTTTCGACATTAGTTTCTTGTGAGGATACCTTTGTACTGTGGAACGGTATGCAGAGCCTTTGCTTTCGACAAGACATCGAAGAAAGTTCAGCAGGATGGAGATAGCAACTCAATAAGTCTGGGTTCCCCCTCGATTAAGCTTGAATAGGGAAACAGGGCAAAAGTTGATGCGTTATAGATCACAGGGTGACTGGCTTGCTTACCTCGGAGCCTTCATCTCCCCCAAGGCTCATTCCTGATCGCGATCTAATCATTCAAGAGGGCCAGACGAGCTGAAAATAGGCGCCAATCGCACCTGATAGCGCAACCGATAAAAACGAATTTCATTCCTAAAAATCAAAGCATTCAATTACCTCTATAGGCATGGTTTCATCAAAAAATGAAATTTTGAGATTTTGGAATTAGATAATGCCGGTTGATGGAGAACACAGTACTATTTGACCATTTTTACTGATTCTGTATTGAGTTCTAAGAGGAGCCAAACCGTCCAAAACCTAGCATGACCGTTCCTTTTTGATAGTTATGACGTGTATTCTACTCTAATTGTGCCCTCAAATGCATTGAAATGTGTTGCAGTGCTGTTCAGGGAGCGCGCTGAAGTGCGTTTTTGTGCAAAAAAGGTCTAATCTGATGATACAAGAACGATTTATCAGGATGGTTTCCTAACTTCCACCGTAACCACGTTGCACTGGGGCGCACTATTGAGCACTGGAGCGCGCAATCGGATCGGCGGACGTGTACACCTCCTTTGATCGGGACTAAGCCTGGGTATTATAACACCTTTCCTCGCGACCACCCGGAGGCAGCCGTCCAAAATTCCTGCAGCACCCGCTTCGCAGTGCAAACGTCCGCCGCTGGCTGCTTGTTATGCTGTTCGTGTATCGTGTTGATGTGTGGGCGGGTTTGGTGGACGCTGCATCTGCGTCGCTGTGGCTTCGCCGAACATGGAGCAAGGGATCTGTGGATCTTTATCTGATGTGGCCGCACTTTAGGTTTCTAATTGTCGTCTTGGCTTGCGTGGGGGAGTGGTTGTATTACAGCTCTGGGCGCCGGCACTGCTTGGCAAACAGGAATATGTGTCGTTGAGCCAGGCGAATGTACTTCATTCCATAGCTTAAACGGCATTTACACAACATCACTAAGCGCGCTAACGGATCTCCTCCCCTTCGAGCCACATTTGCGCCCCATCTTCTCTGCGCAGAATCTTATGCCTTCCTACCCCGCTTCTACATCGATGTCCGCTCCTAGCAGTGACGCGTAAGCAAAGGAGCCCGGTTCGCTCCATCGGCTGAGAACGTATGCTAGAATGAGAGGAGGATTTTTATCCTTGACGGTTGTTGTTACGGACCACTTCAACTTCATTCCTAGAACCCCGCAATGTGTTGCTTTATTCTCTCAAATAGCTGAAGTCCTTAAATTAGAGTGACGTATATCCTTTCCTTCGGCTCAAGCTTTATCGCGGGGTTGGTTGAGCGTAGACCGCTTCCTTCTTGGCCCAAGCTTGCTCCGACCAGCTGCACCACTTGCGTCAGTACTCTCCTATCGTACCAACCGAGTTGAAGTAAACCGTCGACCGATGGGGATCCCATCCCCTCCCTAACATTCAGCATACGGCCCCAGCCGAAACGCCAAAAGGGCTGTTTTGCTTACCTCGCATTGACGTATCCACCTTCCTCTCTGCTCGGTCGTGACGCCTTAGGAAAACTATTATAAACAATATCGATAGACATCTGTGCATGCCGCCCCACGCGAACGCGCTTACGGTGAAAGCTAGGAAACCATCCTAGGAAATGGTTTTTGTTCTGATGGTGGGTAGGTCAATACTTATCGCCATTCGTGCAAGTGCGTGCAGTAATTGTCTCATACAGCTTACGACATATCGACTGGTCGGCGGCAAATCCGCGATCGCAACAAACATTCAATTATTCCCTAAAGGTCTTTAAACCCGTGATGACTCTGTTCGTCCTTGTTCCAATACTCTGAATTCAGCTTTTTGTGATTTTTTTCATATATCTCCGTTGTGTGCGCGGGATGAATGCAGATTAGTTAAATTATTGTCCAACTTCGCTGTCACACGCACAACCCACATGATGCCACTCCATTTTGCTAAGGATTCTTCACTAGAATTATTGGTTCATGGTGCAAAGCACGAGTCAGCATTAGTCAACCAGCAGAAGTTATTCCAGGGCAATGGCTCCCCACTAAGGACCGCGAACATATCGCGACCCAAAAAGTGCGCGGCAATGCCTAAGCCTTGCCCGCCCGCGCTGCCAGCGTAACGCACACACGCATACGTGGTCTCGCGTCCTCTCGCGTACGACGTACTATCTCGCGTTCTCCCTCTCCTCGCAGCGCTGTGTCTCTCCGTCGTACTACGGCCGGCCTCCTAAGGGAAATTTAGTGTTTTCTATGGTGCTTTTTGCTTTTTCTCCTCACTAATGTTCCTCATTGCACCCTTGCCTAATGTTTGAACAAAATAACGCATCAATTCAATCCCGACTCGTGCCTTTAAGTGGGAATGTGTTTGCATATGAGAGTATTCAAGACATAAGAAGTTTTTATTAAAGGCAAGCCTCACGATAAAATAAGTGGGTGGCGGCGTTAAACTATGAAGTTTAGGGTGGGCAGTGTTCCGGAAAGAAATCAAACAAAACGCCCGGTTACACCCCGAACTCGGTTCCAGCCTCATTCCGCCTTCAAAAAGGAGAAGGGATTGATTCAAACGAGTTTCTCGAACGATAGCCAAAGTTGCTATAGTGCTAATTGTTGGCTCTAGGCCAGAATCGATACGCGCACAATATTTCAGCTCCTGTTTGTGGGCATTTTTAGTGAGGTCTTTCGACAAATTCTGACTTACTGCGTAGGCGACATGTGAGTGACATAGATACTTATGGTGCTTGTTTATCTGTTCAACCATCATGTCCACATTTGCCCTACAACTCCGATCAACGATAACGTCGCCATCATAGTAGTATTCATTGTTTTAGTAGGATTCATTCGTTTCATGGAAATTGCATTGGCAATTTGTCCACAAAAAACGCAAGCTTGCCTTCATTTTGCAATGGAAACCTGAATTTCAGATGTCATGTTCCTGCTTGGAAAACACTTGGCGCAATGTAGCTCGGGGAGGCGTCCCGTAACATTGCGTCAAATTCACGGAACGCTAAGCTTCAGTACTTAGCTTAGAGAACAAAAGGATCTGCGAGATGCGGGAGCGTTTCTCATTTTCTCCGGAATTCGTCCCGCGCGGTTAGGCTTATTTCCAGTGACCTTCCTACATATTGCCCCTCCCACATTGCGCCAAACACTTGGTAACAAAAAAGAAAAGATGCCTGATCAAGAGAATATCACGAGGGCAGAGCAAGGCGAGTGCTAACTCCAATCCATCATTGATTGCTCGCACCACCACTGTGATCTCCCCTAATCACCACGCAGCAAGGCGCACAATTATGGCTTCATTTGCGAAGGTCGCAAGACTGCGATTTAATATGAAGGCGTTATCTCACTTCTTGAGTACCCCCAAGCTTCCAGTATCCCATTCACTTAGTCCTCAAATTTTACCAGTCTTTATTTTTGCCAAATAACAACACAAGTCTCTGTCACTTTTATTGGTTACTTTCAATAAATCAGTAATTAGGAAGACTACTGAAAATTCGTGAGGAAAACATCCAAGATCTGTGAGTGAAAGGAGCAGTCGCAGCTTGTTCTTGATCGCCACTGCGAGCATGACGTCAGTTTCATGGGCTTATTGTCCAGCGGATCCTAAAAAACATTCCTCATACTGACTTAGAAGAACAGGGAACATCGCCTGAGCTGATCATAGTAATCTTCATCTTCGCAGAAATTCCGTACTTCTGATGATATGTCACCGAAGACGTTCGAAGCGTTGAAGCGAGTATGGGGATGCGGTACAACGTTGCTCATGGAGGAAAACATTGTGATAAGAAACATTTCCAGGACAATTAAAATTCGGAAATTTGTATCCATCAGCACCTAAATAACACAAAAATATGACACTCGTGTGCGTGCACAAGAATGCTGCATACAGTGTAGCATATATCTTCTTTCTGTACAAAAACGTTTGAATAAACTATCTACGCGATGTAGCAGCGGATAAAATCCCACCCGGGTCAACCAATTCCTCATCTCCGCAATTGAGTGATTAGTAACAAACCAGTCAGGGACAAAAAGAACGCTGACTTCGACATATGTCAACCCCGCCAGTCACTGTACTTCAAATCGCATTCAAACGCAAGAAATATCCTAAAAGGAAATAGGAATGCGCAGCGCACCTCGAAAATGGAGTGGTCTTTCTTTCTGACCCTTTCGCAAGGATCGAAATGAGTAATGATAATGATAAATACATTGTAATGATTCTGTTATGCCAATCAAATGCTTACTGCAATAATGACAAGAATTTTACCTATTCAGCAGCTCAGCAACTACCGCATTTACCCATTGACACGACCGGCAAATAGGTGTTTCAGCACTTATTCATCGGCTAGAGTGGTGATGTCGCCAACCCTCAGGTCGAAATCTGAGGCAGTTTTAGGAAGAATACGACGAGTCACCTCCGCGGGATCAAGGAATGGGCTTTTGTAAACTGCAGTAGTCCATGTATTAAG